ACTATTCACTGATTTTTCTGAAACTTGTCTATCCACTCAATTTTTCGTTCTGAATCCATTTTCAGGGTTATTTTTACCATTTGAGACCTTCTACTCAATTTTTATCTTCCTAGGGTTGCGTGTTGGCTAATTACCGTTTTGCCCTTTCTTTGTATTTTGACCCAATCTTCAGGATTTTTCACTAATCCTTCACTTAATTACTCACTTAATATTTTAATATTTAATTTAGAATTGTGAGGTGTTATATGGGGCTACCACAATGGGTGATAACCCCTGAGTATTGTAGAGGCCATACAAGATGGTAAATCCGCGTGTAGAGGTATAAGGAGAGCTACTTATACTCTTTGTAGGTTGCAGACATGAATAAAGCCTACTTTGTTCTCTGGCCAGTAGACTAGTTGCGTACACACATGACATGCACATATGCGACATTACACACTCATTTGATATACTGCATTGCATGCTCATTCTTATATACTGCATTATACACTGTTATAAATGGTCTAGTATAGCTATTCTCCTTACCTTATTACTGTTCAATTTCTTTATATACTGTTTACACTGCTTTTCGAACTTATATTACACCTGTAAGTGAGCTTACTGAGATTTCTGTTAGAAATTTCACCCATTCTAGGGCACATTTTTCAGGATATGACGTTCGTGAGACGGACAATGATAGAGTTAAAAGGTCGGCATAGAGATTTCATTATTGTTATGAGCCATACATATTATGATTAACTATTTTGCTATGATGAGACTTTATTGAGACTAGACTTGATGGATTATGTTGTTAGTTGTGGTAAGCATAGTGGTTGTATATGTCATTGTTAAATAATCTGTTTATTTGTTGACTTAAGAATTTGTATTATAGCACCATGAGTTATGGATGCTTCTGAATCGTTATCTATGAAGACGAGGTATTTCAGGTTTTATTTTAGCATTGCAATAATATAACAATTTTTATTAAATTGAAAAGTTAATCCACCATGAGAATTAACGTTATTTATTTAAATAAAATAATATATTATTTTTGCAATTAATTATTATAAACTGCGCTTTAAATATTATTTATATATTAATACACCGGATGTTACAGATAAAGTAACACTATATATATATATATATATATATATATATATATATATATATATATATGGGTCATGATCATTTTATACTAGTGTAAGTTACACTCTTAATCTTGATCATTGATTCCACTTATATCTAAGCGCTCTAATTTTTTAGCAATGTGAGCCATTGAATACAAGTGGATCAATGATCAAGATTGAGTGTAAAACTTTTAATTTTTACATTGGTGTAAGAATATCCTGCCCATATATATATATGGAATGTGTGAGGGATTGATGTCTTGTCTTGTAATTATTTTTTATTTTGGCTTTTTGCTGGTTACGTGTTGCAAGAAAGGGATCTATTAATCTCATATTGTATGAGATAATTATCTCATGCAACAGAAACAAGATAGTAGGGTCCAACATTTATAAAAAAAAATAAAATAAAAAAATAATGTAAACTCCACTACTTTGTCTCTGTTGCATGAGATAATTATCTCATGCAACATGAGCTCGCTGCGTAGAACTCAAATTATAAATTGTCATGCCAAACATGCTGAAACGATCATGAATATTGTCATCATGTTTAGAAGCAGAGGTAGCGCGGGATAAACTGTTGCTACTGTTGCTGTGACTGGGGTTCATGCCATGACTACCATGATTATGTGACGCTGCCCACTTCTCAGCAAGACCATCACCTTCAAGCATTCGGACCACTTCAGACATTTTGGGGCGAAGAAAACTTGGTTACAAGTGTGGTTAACAAAATTATAAAAGGATGATTAAATAATGAGAAAAGTGTTTATTTCTTTTAAATGACACAACTTATATCCTTTCACTCTTATAAAGAGGTGAGACCCACACGTTTATTTTTTTTTTGTCAACTCTCTCTCCTTCTTTATCTATCTCTTTCTTAAAATAACACACATTTTTCCCTTAAATAATTGGAATCCTCTTATTTCTCGAGACAAATACTTTCTGGAAGTTTGTTGGAGACCTTAGAGCTCGCTGCGTAGAACTCAAATTTTATCATATATGAAGTGATCACACCTTGTTAAAATTTTTAATAGTCTATAAGATTTCAGCCTTTAATCAAAAGATGAATTTAATAAAAAAGATTTAAAAATGAAATTTTAATATCTCACACAGTCTTGTAAGAGTAATAAATAACATATCTTAAGGAAATAATATACTTCAATAAATAAAAATGAAAGCTACAAATAATCAAATTTTTTGATAATTTTGAAATATAAAAATTAACGATTAAAATTTAATGTAAAATTTATTCCTCTTAAATTGATCTAAGTTGATCATATCCTTATATATATATATATATATATATATATATATATATATATATATATATATATATATATGGAAAATATTTTCTCATGTTGTAAGAGAGTTGTTTTCTCTTACTATTGATCTTTCAATTTTTGTGCAATAATTTCTTTTATTTTTTAATAGATGTAGACCCCACATAAGATGTGTCTACAACATAAGAAAATTTTCTCCTATCGCATGAGAAAATCGAAACCCATATATATATATATGGGAAAACATTTTCTCATCTTGCATGATAATTCAATTCTCATGTTGCGACTCTTCGATTTCTGTGCAAAGTTTTTCTTTTTCTCTTTTTAATAAATGTGGAGCCCACCATTAGTTGAGTCACAACATGAGAATTGAATTCTCATACAACATAAAAAAATCAAATCCCTATATATATATATATATATATATATATACATATATATATATATAACATGAGGGGTTTGTTTTTCTCATGTTGCATGAGAAAACAAACCCTTCTTACACACACCATAAAAAGATGTGCCACATTTTTTTTTATTATTATTTTTTTAAATAGGTGAGTCCCACACATGATGTATCTATGACATGAGATTAGAATCTCCTACAACATAAGATTTATTTTTCCCATAAAATGAAGGATCAATTCATAATAACTTTATAAAAAATATAAATAATATCTATTTAAAAAATATAAAGTACATTAATTTTGATGTATACATATGAACTCCAAAATAATTTAAGATAGTATAAGAATGATATATACCGGTATTAACTGATTTTTCATGAGAACCTGAACCAGGCTTCCATATTTTAATGTATTTAAAGATTATTTTTAATATCAAATATTAGAAATTACGACTCTTGCTGATTAATTTAAATTCATATATATTTTTGTAATATATTAAATTTTGCATAAAAAATAATATTACATTTTTTACATTAATAGTTAAATTTAATGGTTACGAAATTTCTCGTCATTAATAATATAATTCTCAATATTTTTCCTTATTGATGAAAGATTGCTTTAAAAAATAAAATTAATGGTTGTGAATATAAATTTAAAGACATACTTCTGAAATAGGTGAATTTCATTCTTATTAAATTAATTCTTTTTATATCTTTAATTAAAATTTATTCTTTTTTTCTTAAATTAAAATATAGGGTTCGTTTTTTCTGCAGTTACTGCAGATAAGCTATCTACAGTAAGTCCAATACGACATCGTTTTGGCGTAGAAATTATGGTATTTTTATAATTTTAATTTATTTCAGGGTTATAATAGTTTTTATATTTATAATTTTTTAAAATTTTAATTTCAAAATAACGTCGTTTTCGAAATAAATATAAATAATTTATCTACAATTACTTACGCTGAAATATTTTTCCCTAAAATATATTATCTTGAGAGTCAATTGAGCTTTTAGTCTGGTCTCATTTTAAGAATGATGCTTATTATTGTTAATTTCTCTCCTTTTAAAATTTAAAATATATTTTTAATTATTGTGCATGTTTTATTTTAATCTATATTTTAAAAAAGTTAACCTAAATTAATTATGTATATTTAAATTTAAATTTATTGGACTATAATGTTTTCTGATCATTACATTAACAGTATCTCATTACCCATCTATATATATATATAGGGTTTAGATTTTCTCATGCGATTGGAGAAATTTTTTTTTGTTGTAGACACATTTTATGTGAGACCCACATCTATTAAAAAATAAAAAAGTAAAAGAAAATATTGTACAAACAAATGGTCACTAGTTGGAGAAAATAATTCTTCTACGACATGAAAAAATATTTTCTCATATATATATATATTGTATTAATTTTATAAAGTGAGTATTACTTTTATATATATATATATATATATATATATATATATATATATATATATATATATATATATATATATATATATACATATATATATATATATATATATATATATATAGGTAGGATATTCTTACTACCTATTTTTTCTACTACCACTCCACTACCCCTTTAATCACCATTGGATTCAAAAGTTATTTTTTTTTCTCTCTTTATTCAACTTTTCTTTTAATCAAATGGTGATTAAAGTGGTAGTAGAAAAAATAGGTAGTTAGAATATCCTAGCTCATATATATATATATATATATATATATATATATATATATATATATATAAAGACAAATTATAAGATAAAATAAAAAATATTGTATTAATTTTATAAAGTGACAACTTATTTTAAAGCGAAGGGAGAGTATTACTTTTATTTCACAATAATTGTCATTTCAAAAGTTTTGGTTTTAAATTATTTATTATTTTAAAAAAAATTAATATTATTAATTATTTTTAAAAACATTTATTTATATAATTTAATTAAGGGTTTTATAAGAGTTATGTTGTAGGAAAAATGATTGTGTAATGTTATAGAGATTCTTTTTGCGTGTCTTAACTTTTTTAAATTTTTTTTGTTTTAAAAAGTGCGGTCCCACAAAATGGTGTGTGTAGGAAATTTGACGGTGTCACGACAATCCCTTTAATTAAAATAGAATTATTTGATATTGAACTGAGGGAACTTGCTAACAGAAGATTATGCGCACCTTGTCGCAAGGCTTTTGGCGATTAATTTGAACTTTGAAGTGTCGTCTTATCGCAAAGGTTGTGCTTGTGCTGTTGTGCACTCCCTAAACCCTTCGAACTTCCAGAAGCCTCTCCTCCTCTCATCTCCACACTCTCATATCTGCAAATTAAGGGTTAGGGTTCGGAATTCCCCCCCTCTTTTCTGTTCTTAACAGATGGCTTCTTCAAGTGCACAGATACACGGTCTCGGAACCCCCTCTTTCGCTGCTTCACTTAAGAAGCCCAATTCTTCTCATTCTCGAACCCTATTCTTAGGTCAGAGACTAAATAATACTACAGCTTTCCCGCGCTCTGCATTTCTGAAGCTGAAGACCAGAAGGTCTTGCACTGTGGGCCCAGGTCCAGTCAGAGTCGTCAATGAGAAAGTTGTCGGCATTGATTTGGGGACGACTAACTCCGCCGTCGCCGCCATGGAAGGTGGAAAACCAACCATCATTACGAATGCGGAGGGACAGAGGACGACGCCGTCTGTGGTGGCTTATACCAAGAACGGCGACAGGCTGGTTGGTCAAATCGCGAAGCGCCAGGCTGTGGTGAACCCGGAGAACACTTTCTTCTCTGTGAAGAGGTTCATTGGGAGGAAGATGTCTGAGGTTGACGAAGAGTCAAAACAGGTCTCTTACAGGGTTATCAGGGATGAGAACGGCAACGTCAAACTCGATTGCCCCGCCATTGGTAAACAGTTTGCCGCTGAAGAAATTTCTGCCCAGGTCTGTCTTTTCTTATTTTTTCTTTTGATATATATATATATAATATGAAATAAATTATTCTACCTATTATTTTTTTTTCTCTTAGCACTCTCTCCAATACAGTTAGAAACTAGAAAGGAGAAAGAAAATTAAATATTAATTAAGATTATGATCTAATGAATTTTTACAGAGAGTGATAGGCAAAGGTAGATAAAACAAATCTAAAGAGGAGAGAGAAAATTAAATATTAATTAAGATTCTGATTTAATGATCTCTAATAGGATAAGCAAAGGTAGATAGACAAAAAATAGATTATCTATATATATATATATGGAAAAATATTTTTCAAGCTGCTTGAAATAAGTTTATCTCCGGCCATCCTAAAACTACGTCGTTTTGATTATTTATTTTCTTATATTTATTGATTTATTTTTTGAATGGTTATAATTCTTATTTTCTATCTCTTCCTTTATCACTATTGATCCATCTTTGTACGGTTATGATTTGTAGCCGGAGATAAAGTTATCTCCAGCAGCTTGAGAAATGATAAGCCCATATATATATATATATATATATATATATATATATATATATATATAGGCTTTTTGACTCTTATACCCCTTGTTAATTAAAAAATAACCACTTTACCCCCTTTTTAATACTATATATTCATTTACCCCTGTTTAATAGATTAAGAAAACATTTAATCGATTAAGTGCTGGAAAAATATTATCATCACCTTCCATCATCTCAGTTTCTTTCTTTCTGCAAATAGAAACGACAGGGACACTCCTCCTGTTGGTACGTTTGCATCTATGTTCTCTTAAGCTAATCCTTCAGCTTCCGTTGGGTTCAAAAATTCATCCAATTCTTTAACCTGAAACAATTTAAAGTAAGAATCTTTTTAAAAATAAACGTCCCACCAATTCACCATCACAATTTCAGAAAAGGGGTGGGCAAGAACCCTTTTAAAAATAGAGCACCATATGCTTCCGCTTGCCTTCCAGAATTAAAAGCATATAAATTAAATTCTTCTGATGCAGCTTTTGTAGACCAAAGTCTCAAGTTGATTGTGGTTTTACTTTTATATCTTGGAATCGGAACATCATGTGCAACAGCTTTTATATCTTCAAAATGTTTCATTCTTGCATTTCTTGGGATGATCTCGATTTCTTTATTACTGTAAATTGTATAAATTGTTCTAATCATTTTCTGCATTCTTTTGATTCAGAAACCCTTTTCTGAAATTGTGATGATGGGAAGTTTATTTTAAAAAGGTTCTTGCTTTAAACTGTTTCAAGTTGAAGGAATGCATGAATTTTTGAATCCAACGAAAGGAGTAGTTGGAGAAGAGAACATAGGTGCAGCACGAGAAGGGCCCTGCAGTTTCTACTCGCAGAAAGAAAAAAAGAGATATGCTGAAAGCAGATTATAATATTTTTTTATTTAACACTTAATCGATTAAACATCTTTTGTAATCGATTAAACAAGGGCGTATAAGTGTATAGTATTGAAACAAGGGCACACAAGTGTATAGTATTGAAATGGGGGCAAAGTTGTTATTTTTTAATTAATAAGGGGTAAAAAGGTTAAAAAGCCTATATATATATATAGGGTTTGCTTTTTCTGCGGTTACTGTAGATAAATTATCTGCATTAAGCCCAATACAATATCGTTTTGGGACGGAAATCATGGTGTTTTTGTAATTTTAATTTATTTTAGGATTATTATAGTCTTTATAATTATAATTTTATAATATTTCAATCTCAAAACGACGTTGTTTTTGGAGTAAATGCTTATCTGCAGAAATATTTTTCTTATATATATATATATATATATATATATATATATGGATTTATATTTCTGTATTGATCAAATACTTGCCATATATATACTTGAAAGCATTAAATGCGGAGAATAATATCTATACAAAGCATGAAAGCATTAAATATGAGAAATCATAACCATATATATATATATGTATATATATACATATATATATGTATATATATATATAGAAAAAAATTACTCTTATGCTACATGTGATAACTTTCTCTCCTACACACTCTTCGATAATTGTGCCACCTTTTTTTTTTTTTTTTTTCAGATGATGAAACCTACAAATTTGTCTCTATGACATGAAATAATTTATCTCCTTTAGCATGAGATTAATAAAACCTATATATATATATATATATATATATATATATATATATATATATATATATAGGGTTTACATTTCTGCAGTTTTTGTATGTGCAGCAATCAAATACTTGCCATATATATACTTGAAAACCTTAAATGCGAGGAATCATAACCATACAAAAGATGAAAGCATTAAATGTGGGGAATCATAATCACACACCTGTTGTTGCTGTATGTAAAGCGACTGCAGAAATGATTTTACTTATATATATATATATTTATATTTATAGGGTAAATGATTTCTCCCGTCAATGGAGATAAGTTATCTCCGGTGAGTTCAAAATGATGTCGTTTTTGGGCGGAAATCAAGGTGTTTTTGTAATTATAATATATTGCGGGGTTATATTAGTTTTTATCATTATAGTTTTTTAATTTTATAACCCAAAACAACGTCGTTTTGAGCTTACTGGAGATAACTTTATCTCCGGTGACTGGAGAAATGCTTTTACTGGAGATAACTTTATCTCCGGTGACTGGAGAAATGCTTTTTCCATATTTATATATATTGCACTTCATGGTAGTTAGTTATGTTGCTGTATGCATTCTGTGAATTTCCTCGTCGATGACATGATTTATTTTTTATTTTTGGAAGAAAGAAGCAATTATTTTTTGAAATTCGGGTTATCTAATTCATCATGGGTCTCCTACGTGGCAATAACTCATTGTTTCTAAATGGATTCTTTCCTGACATATTGTTATTCTTTTTCTTAAGAAATATAGATTTGGAGATTTTGTTGCCACATTTGACATCCAGATTGATATACTTATCGATTCTGCTTCTGTTATTGCTTGGTGATATAGGTCTTGAGGAAGCTTGTGGATGATGCTTCAAAATTTTTGAATGATAAAGTGACTAAGGCTGTAGTTACTGTGCCGGCATACTTCAACGATTCACAAAGGACTGCTACTAAGGATGCTGGTCGGATTGCTGGTTTAGAAGTTCTTCGTATTATCAATGAACCAACTGCTGCATCGTTGGCCTATGGCTTTGAAAGGAAAAACAATGAAACCATCTTGGTATTTGACCTTGGAGGTGGTACTTTTGATGTCTCAGGTATCGGAAGCGACTCAGAGTTGTCCTCCTTTCACGTTTGAAGTTTTGTTTGATAGGATTTTTTTTTATTTTGTATTGAAGCTAATAGAGTGAATTGTCTCAGTACTTGAGGTTGGTGATGGTGTGTTCGAAGTGCTGTCTACTTCTGGTGATACACACTTGGGTGGTGATGACTTTGATAAGGTTGGATTCTTTCGTATGTTAGTATTATCAATTGGTTTATTTTGTGATTAATATGTTTTTTTTCTAACTATATCGTATCATAATCTATTGGTTGTAGAGAGTTGTTGATTGGCTGGCTTTAAACTTCAAGAGAGATGAGGGTATAGACCTTTTGAAAGACAAACAAGCCCTTCAGCGCCTCACTGAGACAGCTGAGAAAGCAAAAATGGAGCTCTCATCATTGACTCAGACCAACATCAGGTATTTATTTGTCATTGAGCAATCTACGCCCAATCCAGTAGTTTTTGGGTGTGCCACTTAAGCTTTCTGCAGACTACTGAGCTATTAATACTTTTTGTTTCAGTCTTCCATTCATAACTGCTACAGCAGATGGCCCCAAGCATATTGAGACCACCCTTACCAGGGCTAAATTCGAGGAATTATGTTCAGATCTTCTTGACAGGTATTGATAACTGAATCTATTTTCTTGCCTAATTATGAACTTTAAGGGGTTTCAATGAGTAACAAACTGTTTTTCAAGCTGATATGATTTTTCCGCTTCCTTGTTGCTCTTATACAAAAACTGAATAAAATACTCAGGCATAATAATTTAATTGTATGAATTGTGTTTCAGGCTCAAGACACCAGTTGAAAATTCATTAAGGGATGCAAAACTCTCGATTAATGATATTGATGAGGTGATACTTGTGGGGGGATCTACGCGTATCCCTGCTGTTCAGGAGCTTGTAAAGAAGATGACTGGGAAGGACCCAAATGTTACTGTCAATCCAGATGAAGTTGTTGCCCTTGGAGCTGCAGTTCAGGTGGGATTTAACTGTCTTCATTGAGGAATTATTTAATTTTTTTAAAAGGGGATTTTTATTTTTTATTATAACGGGTGGGGGAGGGGAGAGAGAATGTTGTTTAAGCTTAAGAGAGCTGTTTGAAAATATTGTTTTCTGGGTAGCATATTATATTTATTGATTATCTTTTTTTGTAATTTTTGAATTGATTTTAGGCTGGTGTCTTGGCTGGAGATGTCAGTGACATTGTGCTATTGGATGTTACTCCGTTATCATTGGGACTGGAAACTCTAGGTGGTGTAATGACAAAAATTATTCCTCGAAACACTACTCTTCCCACCTCAAAGTCAGAGGTTTTCTCTACCGCCGCTGATGGACAGACCAGTGTAGAGATCAACGTCCTTCAGGGCGAAAGAGAATTTGTTAGGGACAATAAATCTCTTGGCAGTTTCCGCTTGGACGGTATCCCTCCTGCACCTCGTGGGGTTCCTCAGATTGAGGTGAAATTTGACATTGATGCCAACGGCATTCTGTCAGTTGCTGCTGTAGACAAGGGCACAGGGAAGAAGCAAGATATTACCATTACTGGTGCTAGCACCTTGCCTACTGATGAGGTATGATGCTCTATGGCTGTCAATATTACTTGCATATATAGACTGTGTATAGTGTTCATTAGTTTTTATTGCCGGTTACTTCTTTTTGGATGCAATGAAAGAATTTTCCAGTATTATGGTTATGTGACATTTGAGTTAGGAAGCTTGAATGATGCTTATGATCATCTCTTGAATGAAATGCAGGTAGAGAAGATGGTAAAGGAGGCTGAGAGATTTGCGAAGGAGGACAAAGAGAAGAGGGATGCCATTGATACTAAGAACCAGGCGGATTCTGTTGTCTATCAGACAGAGAAGCAGTTGAAAGAGCTTGGAGACAAGGTTCCTGGCCCTGTAAAAGAGAAGGTTGAAGCAAAACTTGGAGAGCTTAAAGATGCAATTTCTGGTGGTTCGACCCAAGCTATTAAGGATGCCATGGCTGCCCTCAATCAGGAAGTTATGCAGCTTGGTCAGTCCCTATACAACCAGCCAGGAACTCCGGGCGCTGGGCCTACACCACCTGGTAGCGAGTCTGGCCCCTCAGAATCATCAGGCAAGGGACCCGATGGGGATGTCATTGATGCAGACTTTACTGACTCTAAATGAGTTTATAGAGATTAAGTGATAATTTTTTTTCTATGGGTGAATACTTGGGTTTTGTGTTGAGGCTTGTAATCCTCTATTATTTTTATATGCATATGTACGATTAAACTTGTTGCCAACGAGCAGTGTGTTATTATTGCTTCATCTGGTAAATCTCTTGGTTTAAATATTTAACTTCACTGATCAGACTTCATCTGCTATTGAAAGTAGCATTTTGGAAATTTGCTCTTGTAAAATTTCAAGAATTTTAAGTTTAAACCGTGAGAGCATTATGATATTATCTGTTGCTTTAGAATGATTATTTTTGTGTGTCCTAGTGGAATTGGATTGTCAATCCTTTCTTTCTTTGTTGTCTTTTCCTAATCATGTTCATTTGTAAAAACTAATTACTCCCTTTACTTGTCAGCCTGTATCAGTTGTGTTATATCTGTTTACTGGAGAAGTTTATATAATGTACATAAACTTGACTGTTTTGTTGTTAAACGTTATGATCCTTCTTTCTGATACTTTGACTGTTTCATCTTTTTCATTACAAACTTATTTCTGGAATTTTGTGGTCAATTAATTGACATATAATAATCTAGATATAAAAGAATTTCCTTGTATTTGGAAATATTTAAATACTCAACATGATCTCATTTCATATCTGATTCTTATGCTTATACTTTATTTATTCCATTGATAATTGAAAATTAATTTCTGAATTCTGGAAAACTATGCTTTCACCCTTAACTATTTAACATGATTTTAACCCAAAAAAATGATTTCTTTTTAAATTTTTTGACTTGTGTTTTTTGTGTACAATTGAGATAATTCACTACCTGCCTGAGATTGAGCATTTTGGCAAAGGCCCAGATGCGCTTAGCAAGGCTGGCCAAATTGCGCAGAGCAGTTGAAGTCTGTGCTCTCTGATATGCTTGTTGATGTGGTAAGTCAAAATAGTGAGTGCTACAGCATAGTTTTCCAGTACTTTTCCTAGTTGTAACCTTTATGATCCAAGAGAACTCTTTAAGGTAGTTCATATTGCTTGACAAGAAACCTTCACACTTCTGTCTTTGCATATTGAAAACCATCTCAAAATTAATAGGAAGCTGTATCTAGAGACCTATTGAGCATGTTAGTGTGTTCTAGCAAGCAAGTTCATGTGTTGCCTAATGTTTCCTGCAAAACTTGCTTCTTATATTCAAAATAATTGTTTTGCATAGTCCCACTTTCATCGCTTGGGTGAAATGTCCAAGGAACTGTGACCTGCTTTGAATACCACATCCTGTGAAAGAATAAGACATGTATGGCATTCCACTTGCCATTTGAAGTGTCAGATTGTGGGAAATATCTAAACATAATTATTAGATATTAATATGATATTTATATGCTGTGAGTACTCCTTTTGGAGGGAGGGGAGGCAGGGACATGATCGCCTAAGTTCTCAGCATGATACTCATTATAATGATTGCTTTCTTTCTGTTCTCCTTGATACACCCTGATATCTTGGTTAACTGCAGCTGTGGTTGCTAATATTTTTTCCATCTGAACTAATTATGCTATGTCCCTAGGTCAAAACAGGCATGATACCCTCTCCTAGTGCAGTGAAGGTATCAGAGCCTTATAAAATTTCCTGTCAAAGGTATTCACTTGTACAAAAATTTCTAACTTATTTGTTTAATTGCAATTGGACGGAGTTCTGTACTTCATTTTTGCTGAAGGCAGCTATTGTGGTTGATCATGTCATGATATCTACCAGTAGAGATGTACTTGCTGGTCCTGTTCTTGTTGGATTTCGGTATGTGTTTTTGAACATGAACTATGCTGCATCTGTATAACATGAAAGTATTTTCCATACTCTTTGGTCTTCACAACAGAATTCAAATACTCTTCACCATTTGAAATCCTGTGATGTTTTGGCCTGTGCTTAATTTTTTTGATGCAGGAGAATCCAAGAGTACTTCTCTTGGCAGGGTTCTCAGTCACTTCTCCCTTGATTGATAAACCAAGAGTACTCCTCTTGGCACGGTATTCTTCCGATAAGAAAACAGTAACCAAGAGTAATCTTCTCGGTAGGGTACTCCCTTGATAAACAAATCCAGAGTGCTCCTCTTAGGTTGAGTTATCCTCACTCAAGTTTCAAATACTCTCTGAAGGAAACGAAATATCAATAATCAATTATGCTAAAGTCTGAATTACATAAGGCACCTACAAGGTATTTATAACCCAAATATAATAAAAATTCTAAATCAATGCTAATTAGATATACATAAGTTTGATAAAATATAAATTTCCTTAAAATGGATATTTTATCAAAGATAAAACCCCGTAAAATATGAAAAGATATCAATATCATAAATAACATAATTTTCATCAAATCCGTAAACTCTGTATCATTCTGCATAATTTTTTATGGGTTTTTTGTCTATTGGTATTTATAGTTTTTGGCAGAAAACCAAGTTATTTTTAAAATTCAATTTTATTTTCATCCTTATTTTGTACAACACTAGATAGATGGATATTGGATACAAATACTGCTTCTAAAATTATTTCACGTTTATTAATAAGACTCTTAGAAATTGATTCTGCTTTTTTATTGGTTTCTGAATGCAGGGAGGAGCTGCTTCCCATGGCTGACATTGTAACCCCAAATATAAAAGAGGCATCGCTTTTACTTGGTAACATGCCACTAAAATCTATTTCTGATATGAGCACTGCTGCAAAATTGATACATTATTTGGGTCCTAGGTTCGTTGCTGTTTAATATATTTGAACTTTTTGGTTCCAGTCTAACTCATGTTTTAAAACTACTAAGATTTTTTGTCTCTAACTGTTACGAATAGTTATTTGTCTATGCTTTAAGAAACTGGTGGAAATTTCAAATGTAAGTTTATTCTTAAACAGAACTTTGATGCTTAGTAGACTTTCAACATTTTGTTTGGTACAGCTTGAGCTTTACAAGATATGACATATTGTCCTTTTAAAATTTTATTTTATGTTTTGACAAAATTCAAACTATTAGAAAATAATGTCACTAATTGCTCTTGCAGTACTCTTAAATCAAATCTATAACAATGATAAATTGGTATCATCTCTTACTGAATTATCTCAAGGGAGAAACATGCGCTACATGTTTTACTCAAGACATACTTCCAAATGGATATTTTTAGGAAATTACTTTTACATATATGCTTAGAACTAGATAGTGAAACAAACTTCTAAGATCAGAACAACATAGGTGAAATTGTATCTATGGTATGCACTTTCAGCTCAAGTTGAAAACATCTAACGTTGCATGACATGTTTACCCGTAAATATTTTTGCTTATATTATAGTAGCATTGCCTTACATTTGTTTTTTTTTATTTGTTTTTCTTCAGACATTCCCAAGTAACTATACACTTTGTACTGTTTATATCTAAATGGATGATACAATATCCAGAACACGGACCTGGAAACCTTTTAGTAAAATCTTTCTAAAAGAACGCACTGCGTTTTATACATATCTCATATAAAGCACTTGTATCGATGAAGTTTGATACTCTGTGAGAAGTAAAGTGATTGTTTGATTGAATTTCACTTTGGCCCTGAGGGCCTAAGCAGTACTTTTGGAGCTAAGAATACATTCCATATTTATGATATCACTGTTTATATTAAACTGCACAAAATAGATTGTTGAATTGTTTCCCTAAATTAGTTGTTGTAAATAGAGTAATATACTGTACGGGGATGAAATCCCACATAGGTAAATTATTATTATATAATTATTATATTCTGTTATTTAATAAAGCCTTTACTGTGTAATTGAGACATGGATTCATCATGTGTCTCATTTTCTCGTTATTCAGTAGTAATGATGCCCAATAATTCCATCGCTTGTTTTGTATTAGCAGAAAATTCTGATGGTGTTGTATATGTAAGAGTGTTTTGTTTCATGGACCGAGGTCACAGAAATAAATGTAAAAAGGCTTCAACTTAAGAGTAGTCTGCTTTTACAGATGATTAATTTTCGTTACAGGAATGTACTTGTCAAAGGTGGTGACCTCCCTAATTCATCAGATGCTATTGATGTATTCTTTGATGGTAAGATACAAGTCTTGATTCTAGACACAAAAAATAAAAAAATAAAAAATAAAAACCAACTTTTTTCGTGTACTTTTTGCTAATGTATGTCCAAAACTAGGGGTGTTCAAAATGTCCAAAAGATCCAAATCGGTTTTTAGAAAAACCGGTTTTATCTCAAACCACTTCTTATTTTCTAGAACAGTTTCTTTGCCGATCCAAAAATAATAATTGGATATCCATTTGTTTTGGTCTACTAGAAAAAAGGTTTTGTATATTATTGAATTGTATAAAATCTGTACAAGAGCTCACTATATAAAGAGTACTGAAAGACTTAATGGGTTAAGCTCAAAATACACTTCTAGAGTATTCTAGCTATTACAAATAAATAAATAAAATACTAATTCTAATATTTACAGCACTCTCCCTCAAGCTGAGGAATAGATATTAATCATTCTCAGCTTGCTAGTAAGATCTTGAAACCTATCATTAGGAAGACCCTTAGTCAAGACATCAGCTAATTGACGACCAGAAGGGATATATGGAGTAGTAATAAGGCCACTATCGAGTTTCTCTTTGATGAAGTGACGATCAATCTCAATATGTTTGGTTCGATCGTGTTGGACTGGATTGTGGGCTATACAGATGGCTGACTTATTATCACAGAATAACTTCATAGATCCTTCATATCTCACCTTGAGATCATCCAGAATAATTTTCAACCATAACAACTCACAGATTCCTTGAGCCATGGCCCGAAATTCCGCTTCTGCACTTGATCTAGCAACCACATTTTGCTTTTAACTTCTCCATGTTATTAAATTTCCACAGAGAAACATACAATAGCCCGAAGTAGATCGTTTATCAATCACAGATCCAGCATAATCGGCATCTGTATAAACCTCTAAGGAAAGGTTTCCTCCTCTCTGGAACAATAGTCCTTTGCTTGGTGTGCCTTTCAGGTATTGGAGAATCTTGTCCACAACTCGTAAGTGTTTCTCCCTTGGATCATGCATGAATTGACTAGCAACACTAACTGCATAAGCTAGGTCAGGTCTAGCATGAGCTAGATATATCAATCTTCCCACTATTCGTTGATACTGTCCTTTGTCAATTGGAGGACTAAGTTTCACTTCCTAGTCTGTGATTCTGCTCAATCGGAGTACTGTAAGGTTTGCACCCGAGTTTTCCTGCTTCTTTAAGGAGGTCAAGAACATACTTTCTTTGAAAAATAAAAATCCCTTGTTTTGAATGAGCAACTTCTATCCCAAGAAAATATCTCAGATTGCCAAGATCTTTGACTTCAAATTCAGCAGTCAGTCTTTTCCTCAAAGCACATTTCTCATCTATATCATCTCCTGTTATAATCATATCATCAACATAAACTAGAAGGATAGTGGTCTTACCTTCTTGAGAATATTTAAAGAAAAGGGTATGATCTCCTTGACTTTGCTTGTATCCCATTGAAAGCATAACTTTGGTAAATCTTCCAAACCAAGCACGCGGGGATTGTTTCAAGCCATACAACTCCTTCTTCAATCTGCAAACTTTATTATCTCCATTTGTAGAGTTAAATCCTGGTGGGATCTCCAAGTAAACTTCTTCTTCTAATTCGCCGTTGAGGAAGGCATTTTTCACATCAAATTGTTTCAAATCCCAATTAAAATGAGCAGCAAGAGATAATAAAATTCTTACCGTATTCATTTTGGCCACTGGAGAAAATGTT